TTGCTTTGGCAGTAAGTTTTCCAGAACCAAGGGGAAGAGGGAATGATTTTTCTTTCCCATGTGGCCTTCACATCTATTGAACCAATGACCTCTTCCACTTTTCTCAGTAGCCCTGGAGGGAGGGTGTCCCTGTTGGGGATGAGGGGGTGGGAGTGGGGGTGGGGTCATGGCAACATCCTGCTGGCTGGCAGTAGGCCCTTTCCTTTGGGTTGAAAATGGCTAGTTCAGGGTTAAGTGAAGGCTGGGGACAGCACTGAGCTGGTGGCAGGGCTGGAGCAGAACCTGGGCACTCAGACACACCCTATTGTTCCCTGGGCTCCTCCTTCATTTTTCTGGAGTAGACTGTGGAGTGGCAGCCAGACAGACAGGGAGGTGTATGAGTGTTAACCTCTGCAGACTGTTCTCACACTGAGGCCTCATGACAAACCTTTCCCTGCTCTTGGATCCTGGTCTCACCTCCCTGCTTCATCTTTCCAGTCCTCCAGACTGGTAGTCTCTGACTCATCTCAACATTCTGTCCAGCATCTCCTTCCCAGTTACCTAGCAGAGGCCTCTTCCTATTGCCTGGACTACTGCAGCAGCTACCCAATTCTGCCTCTCATCCCAGCCCAACTGCCTATGAAATACGAAGTGATTACTGCTAACCTCAGGGTTCCACAGTGCTCAATAAGTGCTTAATGCAAATCTGAATGTTTATTAGTGTCTCATAGTTACAGGGGATGAGGAGTTAGGAGATCCTAGTTTTAGTCCAATTCCAGGTTTTATTGTCCAGGTTAAGTCATTCTCTCCCTGTTGGGAATCATCTGTATCCAAAAGGGGGGGGAAATGTTTGTTTCCCAAATGTTTCCACTCTAATTGTTCCCTGGCATCCACCTTTTTCTCTTCCAGACAGACTGCCATGGAGGCATGAGTGGCACCATCTATGAGTATGGGGCCCTCACCATTGATGGGGAAGAATACATTCCTTTTAAGCAGTATGCAGGAAAATATGTCCTCTTTGTCAACGTAGCCAGTTACTGAGGTCTAACAGACCAATACCTTGGTAAGTGCTCCATCATGCCTTAATTTGCTGCTTAATTTGGGGCCAATTTCTTTACTTGGGTACAAGTATCTATGTTCAAGTACTCTTGTCTGCATGTGCAATTTTATGCCAGAAGAGGGCATCAGATCCCACTCTAGGTGGTTGTGAGATACCATGTGGTTACTGGGAATTGAACTCAGGAACTCTGGAAGAGAAGCCAGTGCTCTCAGCTGCTGAGCCATCTCTCCAGCCCACTTGGGTATACTTTAATCCCATGACATGCAAGGGGAAAAAGGATGACCAAAGAGCGTATCCCAGCTCCACTGTATTTCATATTTTCTAGAGATAAGTATATAAGCCCGAGGCCTGATGGACATATCCCAGCTACCCTTTTCACATCCAGGCACCTCAGCTACCCTGGCTGTGTGCTTTCTTGCTTTCCTTGACTGGAGTAAGAAATGGTGGCTACAGAGCTGGAGAGATGGCTCAGTGCTTTAAGAGTACTGACTGCTCTTCCAGAGGACCCAGGTTCTATTCCCAGCACCTACATGGCAGCTAACAACTGTCTCTAACTTTGAGATCTGACACCCTCACACAGACACTCATGCAGGCAAAACACTAATGCAAATGAAAACGTAAATAAATCATTAAAAAGAAAAGAAAGAAATGGTGGTTGCAGCTCATTCTGAGAATGCCTCCTTTCCCTGCAATCCTGTCCATGTGGACCCTTCTCTTTAGCCCCACCATGGAGAATGGTCCCCACTAGCTTAGAGCTCTAGGAATTGATAAGGAAGCGGTATGGCGGACTGGTGGCATCCAATAGTTCATTCTTCTGTTATTGTTTCTGTGTTGTTTTGTTTTTGAGAGAGGATTTCTCTGTATAGCCCTGGCTGTTTTGGAATCCAATCTGTAGACCAGTCTGGCCTCAAACGGCTGGGACTAAAGGCATGCACCCCCACACCCAGTTCAACAGTTCATTCTAGCTCAGCCCTCCTCAGTACCAATGCTCAGTATGTGTAAACAACTAGGGCCACAGGCTGGCGATGGCTGAACCTGGTATCTGCTTGGAGCTCTCGCCTCCTTAAGTCAGTGACCTCTATCCGTTCTTCTCAGTGAGGACAGAATCAATCAGGGTCAAGCTTTGATGGCTTTCAATGTTTTGGAGCCAAGCAGACCCTGGCTACCTGGCTGGAATCTGCAGGAGAGTTCCTGGATTTGCAGACAGGGTGTATGGTTCCACAGCTCTGTGTCCTGTGCTTTTGTCCAGTCCTTGAACAGTGCAGTGCATCTTTGAAGAGATAGGCCAGGTGCTGACACAACACCCAAATCCAGGGCTGCTGAGGAAACTGGAGGGCTGGCCAGGGACTCTCGGGTTCCTGAATTCCCAGATAGGAGGGATGTTAATCCTGCCCTCACCACTACCCTAAGGAAGGCTCAGCCACCAGCTCAGGGGCAGCTGACTGACCCAGGAGGTGGCCCTGTGACTAGTGACATGAGGAAGCACATTCCTGACATTCTCCCAAACCTCACTGTCCCCGGAGTCCCAGCCTTGCCACTGATTCATTGAATCAACCTGGGAAAATCCTCACTCCTTGGGCCTCAGAGATTCCATGGATCTGGAGGGTGGGTGGGGAGCAGGTGATGAGGTTGGTTTTTCACCTGTTCTCTGCTCTCTCCCTGGCTCAGCACAGAACACACTACAAGAAGAACTTGGGCCATTCGGCCTGGTCATTCTGGGCTTCCCCTGCAATCAATTTGGCAAACAGGAGCCGGGAGAGAACTCAGAGATCCTACCCAGTCTCAAGTGAGTTCTTGTGGTTGGATATGGCAGCCTCTGTAGGGCGGAGGTGTGGGAAGTGCAGGGGTTGTTGACTGTCTCCATGCCAGCCATTCGGTCACTCTGCTCCCCCATGCCCATCCCAGGATGGGGTTTAATAGAATGAGAGTGAGGGGACAGGAAACAGAAGGCTATGGGTAACTGGTTGGGAGTCCTGAAGCATGTGGAGTGGCTCAGAGAAGGGACCTAGACGACAAATACACACTGGGCCTGTGTATGTAATGAGCTGCCACTGGATAAAAGGGATTCCCAGTCCCCCCTCCCTCCTTAGTCCCTTCACCTCATTTCTGAACCATGTGTGGCTCCTTTGGACCCACCAAGTACCTTCCTTGCAGGTATGTCCGACCCGGTGGAGGCTTTGTCCCTAACTTCCAGCTCTTTGAGAAAGGAGATGTGAACGGGGAGAAAGAACAGAAGGTCTACACTTTCCTGAAGGTGAGTGGGTAATCTGGAGGAACCTCCCCCAGCTGCTCGGGCCCCAGCCCATGCACCTCAGCCCCTAGGAATGTCCTGGCATTGGTCTAGTACTCCCACGAGAAGGCTTGGCAGACCCTGCAGTCACTCAGCCTACTGTACAGAAAAGGCAGAGCCTACAGGGGCAATCTGAGGGGGCTACAACCTTCCAGTTGCTGTAGAGATGGACAGTCAAGTGTTCTAGCTCCCAAACTGGGGTCCTTCCTTGGAAGGCTGAGGGGAGATCAGGAGGGCCCTCAGGACAAGCTGACACCTCTCTTACTCCTCCACTAGAACTCCTGCCCTCCCACTGCGGAGCTCCTGGGCTCACCTGGCCGCCTCTTCTGGGAACCCATGAAGATCCATGACATCCGCTGGAACTTTGAGAAGTTCCTGGTGGGGCCGGATGGCAAACCTGTTATGCGCTGGTACCACCGGACCACAGTCAGCAACGTCAAGATGGACATCCTGTCCTACATGAGGCGGCAGGCAGCCCTGGGGGCCAGATGGAAGTAACTGACGCCCCTGCCCCATCCCCTGTCCATTATGCAAGGGCTCTTCAGGAAGGAACCAACATTCCCAATCATTCTACACCCACCCCAAGACCCCTATCTTATTACATAAGACAAGCCTGGCACAACTGCGTGTCTGTACCATTGTGCACACATGTGACAATGGGTGCCAGTGTGTGCATGGCTACACAGTCATGTCTGCCTGCTTGATACCCAGGGATGGACCACCTGCGCTCACAGCTTGGTACTGGGGAACTGTACCTTATATTTTTTCAGCTTTCTGTTCAAAATGAGCCCAGCAGAAACACCAGGTCCAGTGGTCTTGCTCAATCCTGGACATCTCCCCTGGGGCCAGCATCCCCCACATGCCCACACTTAAATCCCATACACTGCACCGCCAGCCTCCTTCACCTTTCCTGAAGTGCCCTCCCAAGTCCCCAACCCCATTCCACAGTGTTCCTGAGAACCAAGGCAACTGTGAGCATGATGACCATGTACCCCAAGTCAGGGGTGGTGTCTCCATGAAGGAGGGGTCCGAAGCCCTTGTGGGCGGGCCTCCCCTGAACCTGTTTGTGGGGCCAGCCCTTAGTGCATTCAGGCTTGGGCTCCCAGGCAGGGATACCACCCCTGCTCCTCTGGAGGACATGCTGTTCCCTCACTTTGTCCACAGGCATCTCTCACACCCCTACCTGCTCAGTAAAGGCCTTTCTGCAGCAGCTCAGCCTACCTGTGGTGGCTTCCTGGCATGGGAGGTGGGGGCTGGGGATGGAGACAGGGAGGGTGAAGGAAGGAGAAGGAGAAACGAGGAGGTGAACAGGGCATGCTTTGGGGCTTGTGATTTGGCTTCTATTTAGGCCCATCCTTCAGCCCTTGCTCAGCTACTGGAGTCTATAACCAAGTTCATATCGGCTCAGTCTCACCTACCTTCCCCAAGGCACTGAGGGCTCAGAGAGGGTATCACTTCTGAAGGGAGGGAACTAAGGCTTGCCCCAGACCCAAGTCCTCTGATTCCCTGCCTGCACAGTATCTTTCCTCTACTCTTGGGTGCCCATAAGATGCTAGCAATATTCTCAGGACTATGCAGGAAAGGAATGCTGAAGGAGGAAGCAGAACCAGAAACACAGCACTTCTACTGGTCAAAGTGAAGGCATGAAAAAAAATTACCAGTCACAAAATGTTGATTCTCAAGTTGGATTTATGTCCAAGATTTGTGTGGGCCGAAGGCAGCTTCAGGCTGGGGCCCTTCAGCAGACATGGATGATGTGGCCTGTATCCCAGATCATGGTGGCTCTCAGAGGCTGCCATGGGTGCAGTGGAGTGCACGCTAGCATCAGAACATGCCACCACTCTCTTCTCTAGAGACAAAGCCCCCTTCCCATAACTCCTCACAGAGGGGTAAGGAGAGGGGCATGATGCAGATCCTGCTACAGAGCTTGAAGCAAAAATTACACATGCACATGAAATGGGCGTGGTCTCTGGAGAGCCTGGAACCAATTCTTCACGGTTCTGAGAGGAAAGGGTGTTAGTTGCACCCCACTCTTAGAATGGACAGCCAGTGGCCTCAGCAAAAGGGGGCAAGTCAAAGCCAGGTGAAGCCCCTTTGTCTTGGCAAGAGGCAGGGTGCGTTGAATTTCTCCTAGCTGCATCCAGAAAAACTTGAGGCCTTGTGGGTGGAGTCTCCCTAGTCTTGTAAACAGTTGGAGGTGGGGCTGGGGATGTAAGTTGCCTGCTCCTCCCAGCCTCTCTGTTCAGCCAAGGCGTGGGCCACACAGAACGTGCACATGGCTTCTAGTTTCTCGGCAATCTGAGGTCAGCTGGCTCTGCAAGATGAAGGTGGAGCCAAATGACCCAATGTGGTCTCACTGAGGCCCCTCACAGTCATTTTTTGCAGACTCTAAATAAACAAAAGTTTTAAAGCTTTAAGGTCACATGGTCTGGTCAGTCTCACACAGACGCCAACTCAGGCTTCCTCACCAGAGTAAACAACAGAGAGTTATTGTACACTACTGAGTATCAGGATGTCTCTAGGGCATTCATCATGTGAACTGCACCCAGCACTAAGGAGCAGGTCATTTGTTACCCCTGCAACAGAGGAGGGAACTAGAACAAAGAGTTACAAAAGCTTGTCCCAAGTCCCAGATTTACAATATGCTGGAGCTGGGATTTGAACTCAGTCTGTCTATCTCCAAATCACAAAAATAAGAACTGGAGGAGGGGTCAGCCCTGCTTACCATGTCACCCTCTGTCACCCGCTAAAGCAGCCCCAAAAGACTCCAAAGACCCTCTGGGGAAATGACCAGCCAGTCTAATCCCTTCTTCCACGCACCAAGTTCTCCAGCCCTACTTGAGTCATCTGGCTGTGGCCTCTGCTTGCACTATCTCCTGACAGAGCTGGCTTCGTTTCTGGACAACAAGGACTTTTTCTAGGAAGTTGCTCTTCATGGCCACGGCCTCTCTAATGTATATACCAACTTCTCACAGTGGTCTTCCCAGAGTCCCACAGGCTCAGTGCTTCCTGCAGAGAGCCCAAGTGCCCTGACTAGCTTGTAGCTCCAGGTCCTTTAACCTCTTTAAAGGCAGACTGTGTGGCCAGATGGAGTTTTCCCAAGTTCCAACCTGGTCATGTCACCGTGCTTTACAACCTCCAAGAGAAACCCCACACTACTCTCAGGATCCAGACCAGCCTCCTGCCACACTCTGAAAAGGCTGTGCACCTGGAGACCTCTGACATCTCTCATACCGCCTTGATCTTGGCTCCCTTGAATGCTTAAATCAGCCACTTTCCTTCACTCCTATTAAAATGCCATGACTTGGATCTTAAATGTTTTCCGAGAGACATTTGAGAGCTTAGTCACCAGCTAGCCCATGGTGCTCTCAGGATAGGACAGAGGAGGTAGGGCCGCATGGGCAAAATCAAAGTCACCAGGCAAGTACCCTTGAAGAGGATACTGGAACCTTTCTTGTTTCCTGGTGAACAGGCCTACTCTGCTATATACTCCTACTATGAGAGGCCATGCCACCAGAGGCCCAAAGTGACAGGACCAAGTAACCATGGGCTGAAACCTCTAAAATTCTAAGTAAAAAATGTATCTTTCCTTTGTGTAAGTAGATTATCTTGGGTGTTTGGGACCAAGGATGGAAAGCTGAGTAACACAGAAAAACACCAACCAAGCAAGCTGCCAACCAAGGAAATTGCTGACCAAGAGAGGGATCAATCATCACGGAGTATGAGATGCGGTTCAGAGCCCCAGAAACTGCCTAGACGGCTGTAAGCAAGACTAAATGGGCGACTCTAGTGAGGGTTCAGAAGAGCTCAGTACTGACTGATGTGAGGGCAGTGAGGTCACACTCATGACATTTTGGGTAGACATGAAGACCCTAGTGGAAACTGGGTCACTTGTATTATACTCTAGCAAGAACCTGTCTGTTTTGTCCATGCCCTGACACTTGTGTGAGGTGGAGTTTTAAGTAACTGCTGGGTGGAGTAAATGTCAAGGTCAAACAGTGTTCTGGCAGTGTCATGGCTACTGCTGACTGCCTTCAGCCAGATTTACTCTAAAACAAGAACAAAGGCAGGGCAGACAGATTAAAAACAACCATTGCACAGGGGAGGGCCTGGGCCCTGCCCCAAATGATGTGACAAACTTTGATGACCCCCTCCATGGAAGGCCTTACCCTCCTTGGGGAGTAGAGGAGGGATGGGATGGGGGGGTTGGTGGGGGGTATGGGAGGGAGAGGGAACTGGGATTGATATGTAGAATAAAACTGTGTCTAATTTAAATAAAAAATGTAACAACAACAAAACCCAAAAAACTTAGAAAAAAAAAACCCATCAAGTGTTTGCCAAGGATGACCTTAAAAAGAAGTAATTCGGGTGGAGGGATGGCTCTGTGGTTAAGAGCACATACTGAGAACCTACATCAGGTGACTCACAGTCACCTATAACCCCAGCTCAAGGGGGATCTGATACCTGATTTCCATAGGCATCAGTACGCACACGTGCACATACCTACATATACATAATTACAAAGAATAAATCTTACACACACACACACAAAAGCAGCAAAGAACTTTGCCAAGAAATAGTAAGAAAGATGTGTTGAGGGTATCTCCATAATAGGAAGATCCCCAAGTAAGGTGTGATGTCTCTTTCATCCATAATCCTAGCACTTGGGAGGTGGAAGCAGGAGGAGTCCGAGTCTAACTTGGTTTATTACACAAGAGTCCCAGGCCAGAAGGCCTAGACATGTAAACCTCCCTGATTTGAGAAAAGAACACATGTGCCTTCAGGTGGGGGCTGCCTAGAGAACTACTTCCAGGAGACTGTTCAGGTTCAACATACACATAGACCCTTGACCATTGCAGCTGTGATTCAAGCAGGCTCTGGCATAGTTCTAATTGGCAGTAGATGTTGGCATTTGTCCACATGATGGTAGTTTGGCAGGTATGCATAGTGCCAAGTGTTATGGGGTCATGGCTTCCACCCAAATTTCAAAGGAACGCCTGGGGGCAGGGGCGGGTAGTGTGTGTTGCAGGATCCAAGAAGTCCCAGTGGGCAACCCCAGACAGGGTAGTAAGTGAAACTGTGAGGATGATGTCTAAGCTGTACTGGAGACCCCAGGAAGTTAGAGATGACAGGAGTATAGAATGTGGATATGTGGGGAGCCATGGGCACCAAGTACAGCCAGCCAAGGTGACAGCCTGGAATTGTGGAGCTCTTGTTTGCTTTCTGGGTTTTAGTATTACTTTGGTCTGATCCTTGTCTATAAACTCTCTCTCCTTTTTTTTTTTTTTTTTTTTTTTGGTTTTTCGAGACAGGGTTTCTCTGTGTAGCTTTGGAGCCTGTCCTGGCACTCGCTCTGGAGACCAGGCTGGCCTCGAACTCACAGATCCCCCTGCCTCTGCCTCTGGAGTGCTGGGACTAAAGGCGTGCACCACCAACACCCGGCTTGAACTCTTTCTCCTTTCTGAAAGAGCGATAGTTACTGGCCCAACACTGTATACTGGAAGCATGAAACTTTCTCTTTGGATTTTTGTTTTGTTTTGAGATAGGGTCATATAGCACAGGCTAGCCTCATACTTGCTATGTAGTCAAGGATGACCTTGAACTCCTGGTCCTCTGGTTTCCACCTACCAAGTGATGGGAGTATAGTGTGTGCCACCATACCTGTCTTTTTTTTTTTTGTTTCTGTAAGTGCTCACAGATGAGTCTGCCTTGAGCCTTAGAGACTGAGCTTTTAAGCAATGCCAGAACAGTCAAGATCATGGGGACTCTGGGAGATTGCCCACACGCACTATGCAATGTGAAATGGACACAAGCCTCGGGAGTCAGAGGCAGAATGGCTCCAAGCCATTCTGTAGGTAGCTGGGAGTAGTGGAACTTTAGGAGGTGGGGGGAAGTTGGGTCATTACAAGTATGCCCCTGCAGAGGACACAGGGTCCCCACCTGCTCCTTCTTTCTTTTTTTGCTTCCTGGCCATCAGGAGGTAGAGAGATAACCCCTGCTGTGTTCTCCTGCACTGATACACTGGATAGCCATAGGCTCAAAGTGATGGGGCCCAGTAGCCAGTGACTGAAATCTGTGAAACAATGAGTCCAAGCCGAATCTTTCCTCCTTGGAAGTTGACTGTCTCAGGCGTTTTTGTCCCAGAGATAGAAAGTTGAATGATACCTGAAGTCTTTGTAGCTGTCATTGTTCTCTGCAAGAATATCTCCTACCCCTCTCGCTGCATCCACAAAACTTCCCTGGCTCTGCTCCAGTCAGGTGCCCTGACTTCTCTCACAGAAACTTGCTCTTCTGGGCACTCAAGTGCAACCAGTCTGTCTATGTGAATACTGAAATTCACTTCTGCCCCCTCACTAGGATAGGAACATGCCTGCTTCCACTTTTGAGCAGTGCTAGCTCCTAGCACAGTACTACAGAGCAAGTGTCTGTTCCTTCAGTCATTTCTAATTCCAGTCAACATCTTTCCTCTCTCACTACTACTTCAGGAAGCTGGGCTCCATGTCACCAAGCTTACAAAGTAACAACATCTGCAAACTGGGTCAATGCTGGTGGGTGAAAGTCCTTTCTACCAGGGGACCACACTCACCTGGTTCTGTAGGCCTGTCTGGGGGTGGATCCATCACTTGGGAGGTGGGATTCCGAATCCCTGCATAGGGTGGAAGCCAGGTGTACTCTGCCTATAACAAGATGGGTGCTTAAGAATTCAGAATTGCTGGGCAGTAGTGGCCCATGCCTTTAATCCCAGCACTCAGGAGGCAGAGGCAGGCAGATCTCTGTGAGTCTGAGGCCAGCCTGGTCTCCAGAGTGAGTTCCATGGCAGGCTCCTTAGCTACAAAGAAACTCTCAAAAAAAAAACAAAAGCCCAAAACAAAATGTACATCCCTTTAACCCTTTAAGCCAGGTGTGGTGGTACACAACTTTAATCACAGCACTGCAGTGGCAGAGGCAGGCAGATTTCTGATTTTGAAGCCAGTCTGGAGTACAAAGTGAGTTCCAGGACAGCCAGGGCTATACAGAGAAACCCTGTCTCAAAAAAATCAACCCCCCCAATTAAATCCCCCCCCCCCCGAAAAAAAAAAACAGCAAAAAGAAAAGAATCCACAAACCACATTCCAGAGCCACAGCAGTAGCCACAGTCAGAGCAGTTCTAAATGCATAGGAACAAACAACCAACTCCTAAGGGTTACTTGCCGCCACTCAGCTGAGAAAGTGGCCTAGTGTAGCTTTGAGTCCATGCTTCTCCCTCTCACATTTGACATAGTCTCATTCTGTAGCCCAGGCTGGCCTACTATCTCACTATGTTGCCCAGGCTGGCCTCAAACTTGTGAGCAGGTTTCTTCCCTCAGCTGTGCTGGGGTTACATGAGCCAATCTCGCTTGACCAGCCTCACAGCAGTGTTTAAGTGTGCATAAGGGAAGAAGCTATAAAAGAGGCCAGACAGGAGGGGATTGTACCTGAGGGGAGACTGCAGAAGGAGGGGCAGGTGACAACTCTAGGGGGTGGATGAAAGATGAGGGAAAAAGAGAGGAACCAAAATCGGAGGAAAGGCAGGAAAAGAGAGAGAATAAAGAGGCAGAGGAAGGGAGAGAATCGTGGTAAGGATCAGACCTGACTCAACTGAAGCAAACTCTGATACCCAGCTGGGGACTTGATGGCAGTCCTTCCTATTCTGTATTCCTACCCGGCCTTCTCCCTTTGACACCAATGGTGCTGAGCAGCTAGGGGCTGCAGAATCTGGTCTTCAGGGAGAGCAGCCCAGGACCAGGCCTGGACACTTGCCACCTTCTCAGAGGAGAAACCGCTGGGACAGGAGGCTCTCACCCCCACCCCCCACTTGGTCGGTCTTCCTTCCTAGATAGAATCTGCAGGAAGGAGGGACACAGACTCACCAGATGGAAGAGGTGAGAGTTGGGGAGTGGGGGCGGGTGCTCCATGGGCATGGCGGGTGGAGGGTAGCGGATCTGGGACCAGTCCTTGAAAGCATGGTGAGGCCCCATGGGTGGCATGGGTGGGTAGGCATAGGGATAGGCGCCGCAGAGGTGCTCAGGGTGGGGTTCGACGTGGTAGCGCTCTCCTGAGGCCTGAAAGAAAGGCTCATATATGCCTCTGGCCACCAGACAGTGGCACCCACCTCGTTGCCCTGTAGCTGCAACCTTAGCTCTCAGAAGACAAGGGAGGGTGGGACACAGGCAGGACTGGGGACTTGGACATATATGAGTGATAATGAGGACTGCTCTGTTGGCACTTAACTGGCAGAATGCCAGCAGTCTTTCCCTTGGGCCCCACTCCCTGAAGGTGGTCAGACAGTGCAAGCTGCCCATTCCCTCCAGCTGCTCACCTTTGCTTTCCTCTTCTGCTGCTTGAGGGCTTCTCTGGCCTTCTCCTCATCTTTGAGTGCTTTGAGCTGGAGGACGGAGACAGGCCTGATAGTACAGGTGGTTCATAGCAAGTGCAGGCCAAGGCCTCACCACCTTGAGGGCAGATGGCTGAGGCCCAGGACACCACTCAAGAGT